ACGGGTTGAGATCCGGAGATCGCGGTAACCAAGCCATGGGACCACCCCAACCTATCACCGGTTTGGATACTTTTCATTGAGGAAATTAGTGACACCTCTTCGATAATGAGTCGGAGCACCATCAAGTAATAAGAACGTCATCCTTCTGATTTGAAGAGGAATGCTCCACCATTCACAAAGATTAACTCTTTGGAGAAGATCCGTAGGGAGAAGTTCTTGTACCTGTTGGTAATGAGAGGGATGCAGTCGGTATTCTCGCAAAGTGTCTTGCAACAGCGGTCCTACTTTGTCAAGTAAGTACAAAAAATTTTCGCGTACTAGTACCAGGATCATTTTCGACAAGCTCAAACACTTCTGCAGCATTGTTTCTTCGCATAACTTCTCTTTCACGTGTCAATTTAGGGAACGCACCTGTTAATCGAAGAGTTGTAACGGATCTATTGAACGTCTGCTTGTCTGGAAGACAGCGGTTTGGATATCGTCGTTGGTTTAGATATGTGGTACTACTCTTGCAATATCCATACACGAAAATCATGTCCGCGTATTTTACATTTAAATAAATTAAAGTCATGATTTTAACGCAGCATGTAGTCTCCATGGCAAAGAAATAAAAAACAATGATGTCAATGATGACAACTAACCAACTGACAATCAACAATTTTTTTCTAATCCCAGCCAAACTGCTAATTATTAAATTACCTAGCACTCTGGTCGCAACAAGGTAATTTATTCTTTAGAAACTATCCATATGATCTGGCAACTTCAAACTCTGATATTTCAAGAACTGTTGGGAATTAGGAAAAGTGAATAGAATCATTTTTACTTAAAATTAGTCATAGAATCCATATACCAAGTATATCGGACACCTCGGTGACCACTCTGTATGTAACATATATTTTGTCATTTTTTTCTTTTTGATCGTTTTAAGTGAAAATAAGAAACAAATGCCAGAGCTGAAGAAAAGAAGAACACATAATTTTTTACGCTGGCTCCATACTTGCGTAGATACTTAGACGAATATTCAAGAATTTTACGAATATTCTCTAATGTACTTCCATTTAGCAATATTTGCCTAAACAGCCTTTTCTTACGTATTACCCTTATTCATATAATATTGTTGGATAACCGGACAAACTTAGGAATGAAAACACTAGATGGCGACTCTCTTAAACATCCGTGTCATCTTTATTTATATTTTCAACAAAACAGGGATGTTTTGAGAGAGTTGTCATCCAGTATTTCCTTTTTTAACTTCGATTGACTGTTTAACTATATTACGAATATACAGGGTGTTTCAGAGAGACCTCCCGTAAATACAGAGGGTGATAGTACGCCAAAGAATAAAAATTTTTTGTCTTATAAACTATATGTCTATCTCCTCATGTTTTCTAGATACAGAGCGACAAAATAAAATTTTTGAAATAGAATTTTTACTAAAATTTTCAAACGGTGCGAAATATTTTTATGAAATTTGGTATTCCGGGGTTTTTAAGGATGCCAAATACGCTGGCCTAATTATTTTTTTAATATTTCATAGAGGGCGCTAGTTATGCTACATTCCTATTACATTTTAAGTTCTAATTTTTATAAGGTTAGGTTTTTTACCATTCGGGCTCCAATTCCCAATGTACAATTTTATTTTCTAAAAATAATGTGCTCTTGTTAGAACTTCCTAATGTGGACGGTTTTCGAGAAAAAAAGGATTTTAATTAAACTCTTACAATGTTATTGTGTATAAAATAAGTGACTTTTCTCAAAGTAGGCTTATGTCAAAACTTATCGATGGATGTCTTATAAACAACGTATACATTCTTAGTAATATTTTAAACGCTAATTAACTTTATATCAAAATTTTAGTGCTTTTAGTGACTAGTTAGTAATGACTAATTACAGTCAATAAAACTTGATAAGAATTTGATACCAAAGATGAGATACCTTAAAGTATAAAAAGTTATGTCGTTTTTATCACATTAAATCTATTGCAGCTAGCGCCCTCTATGAACTATATAAAAAATGTGAACAGATTTCAATTCCTCGACCCAAAGAACCTCAAACCTCAAAATTTTGTGGATCTTTGCGTTTATTAAGAAATAAATGAAAAAAAAAAACGAAAATAATATTTTACATTTAACATCCTGTATCTCTTTAAATATCAACTTTTGTACTAAGTTCTTTTTAAAAATAACTTTTAAAAAATGTACTAACTTTTTAAAAATTCCACACATTTTCTTTCAACACCCTTTTACACAACATTATATTAATTCAAAAATATAATTGTGCACTGCCGATCGATATTAAAAATATTAAATAGCTTGTATTTAAAAACTCCAAATTTTGAAAATCTCCATTTTATCTAAAATTTAAGCCACTGAAAATTTTCTATACCATAATAAAATATATTCTAAAATTTCGGTCGAAATTGTCTGGTATATATAAAAAAAAAAGTATTTCACTTACCTCCATCATAATATCTTATGTATGTAGATACATTTATAAAGTGTTGTGGTTGTTACCGTTGAGAGTAGGTTTTACAAAGGAAATTATATGTTATGGAAATTATTATAACTGCTTAGCAAAAGCGCACGTGTCTAATTGTGCATTCTCCTAGGTAATTATAACATATTTTATTAACACTGTGTACCTTCCTACCTGGTTATTAGAATTTACATTTTTATGACATTTTAGATGCACCACAATTAAAAATTCGATTTTTATTGCCGCAATATTATTTGTAGGATATATTTATAATTTTTATATTTCAGTTAAGTAATTTTTATATGGTATTTTAATATGATATATGTATATTTAAT